GGACACCTCTTGCGCCAATAGTTGCAGAAGCGCTCTAGTATTTTCTTCGGATTTCTTACCTGCCGTCCGCTAATATGAGTATGTGCATGTTCGACCGGGCATATCTTCTTACTCACGCTCGACTAAAAGCTTACTCCACTGTGCTGGGTTGAATTGGTAGAATGCCATGATAGGAATTCGAAAAGAGTCGCCCGAATCGCCTTAGAAGGGATGGGTTCGCGCAGATATACGGGGTGGAAGCGGTGAGAAATGTAGATAGTCTGGGATAGCAGGGGCAGATTTCTTGACGCAGACGTGCTACTTTATAAGATTTGCTTCGGCGTCATCTTATAGCCGAAGCTTCACCGGTGATTGTATTGTCATCGCAGCAATCTGCCCCGCATCCAGCCCTCCCAGGAGCAGAGTGTTTCCGAATACCGCACCACCTGTTCCTCTGATCTTCTAATGCTATTCCCAGGATGTCGGATATTCGTAAGATCTGTCGGTCTGTATGGGCAATTCATGAGCCTCCGGGATCATACACCTCAGTCTGCCTCAACAGCCTCAGCTCCATTGTCATTTCGGACCTGACAGTTCCAATACTAAATTCCTTGTCCCCAGCAGAGACGGTGGTGAGAGAAGCAGGTGAATATAGCAGGGCTACCATTTCCTACACCTTTCGCTCGAGATGCTTTACAGTCCCATCGCTATGCCAGAGGAACAATGAGTCAGCCTGGCGATTCCATTCCCAATGGTCCAAGCTGTGGTCAAGCTGATGAACACAGACCATTGAATGGTGTGGGACGTCAGCCCCAGCGCTCATGCAGCCATATGTCTGAATGGACGCCTTCATAATCTGCGGGGAATGAGCAGCAAAATGTCCAGCGGACGTACTTGATGGATTGCCCGGTCAGTGATCCACAGGGTTGCTCGCCTGAGCTTTTCTGTGGGGATTGCTTTGCATGTCACGCCCAATCATGATGAAACGAATGTCCATGGCCACGCCCGAAAGTTCCCAACTGCCCACTTGATATTTGTCCCAGCAGTTGCTTGGTGCCGCACCTACCAATCAGACAACTACCTTTATCTAAGACTCCTGCTTCAGAAGCAAAGCTCCTGTCAGTTAGTTGAGGGTGGCTCACTAGCGCGCAGTCGCTCGCAACGACCCCTTCACCGCCATGCCGCATTTATAACTTACATGCTGAAGCAGACACGCCGTCAATTTGCGACTGGATAGACTTCAACTTAATCCGAGTCCAGCAATTCTCAATCGTTTGATAAAACATGGAGGGGCATTCAAATCACAACGCCCGCAAGATTAGTGGTGCTGAAACTGGGTCTTTCTCTCTTTCTCTCTCTNGATAAACCTCGCGAAATATTGACAAGCACCCTTCGCATGGTCTGTTTCGCCGGTCTACGGCTGCCTTGGAATGAGCTGAGTTGAGCACGGAGATAACCTTCTCATACTCCCGCCGAGTATTCGTTAGTTGTTGCTCAAGCAATTTGCAGTTCTTTGCCAAACGGCGCGTATTTTGGACCAAATATTCCTTGCCCCAGACAGACGACGTGGTAAACCAGGGGCCCTTTTGAAGCGTGCGCACCTCATGGGAGATCTCGTCGAGTAGGAAGCTTGCACGTGCGCTGAATGACCGCTCCCCGACGGTAGTAGTGTAGATATAGGGCGATGTGCAACGCATGTGCCGTTGCGAACATCCCCGACATACGAGTAGGAAGCACGGCGCAAGATCGACATCCTTCACCAAACGACAATCATGGCATTGCCGATTATTTCGATCTTCGCAGGCTCGGAGGTGGGCTGCCCGCAGCTCCAATTGCTTGACGCTCAATTGCCGTCTTGCGAGGCCCAGTTGCTCCTCAAGATATTTGGATCGATTCAAGAGACGGCAATTCCCTTCCCATAATGCGGCTCTGCCGTGTGCTGCTTCCTGAAACGAACCATCCCTTGCAACTCCAAGGCGGGACACCTCTTGCGCCAATAGTTGCAGAAGCGCTCTAGTATTTTCTTCGGATTTCTTACCTGCCGTCCGCTAATATGAGTATGTGCATGTTCGACCGGGCATATCTTCTTACTCACGCTCGACTAAAAGCTTACTCCACTGTGCTGGGTTGAATTGGTAGAATGCCATGATAGGAATTCGAAAAGAGTCGCCCGAATCGCCTTAGAAGGGATGGGTTCGCGCAGATATACGGGGTGGAAGCGGTGAGAAATGTAGATAGTCTGGGATAGCAGGGGCAGATTTCTTGACGCAGACGTGCTACTTTATAAGATTTGCTTCGGCGTCATCTTATAGCCGAAGCTTCACCGGTGATTGTATTGTCATCGCAGCAATCTGCCCCGCATCCAGCCCTCCCAGGAGCAGAGTGTTTCCGAATACCGCACCACCTGTTCCTCTGATCTTCTAATGCTATTCCCAGGATGTCGGATATTCGTAAGATCTGTCGGTCTGTATGGGCAATTCATGAGCCTCCGGGATCATACACCTCAGTCTGCCTCAACAGCCTCAGCTCCATTGTCATTTCGGACCTGACAGTTCCAATACTAAATTCCTTGTCCCCAGCAGAGACGGTGGTGAGAGAAGCAGGTGAATATAGCAGGGCTACCATTTCCTACACCTTTCGCTCGAGATGCTTTACAGTCCCATCGCTATGCCAGAGGAACAATGAGNGTCAGAACTAGGGCAGTCAGAACTAGGGCAGTCAGAACGGCAGCCAGGGCCCGGGCAGTCAGGGCCAGGGCGGCCAGCACCAGGATGATCAAAACCATGAAAACCCAAGCCACGGCAACAATCCCAGAACGATGAAGAGCTTCTATGTCGACTGGTTGCGCGAAAATAATCTCGATTCGAATACTGAAGTCAACACCCTTGGAGACCAACTATTTGGGAGATTCACGGCAGCAGCCCACGCTTACGCGGACGAATACGAACGCAAATTTGGTCAGCGGCTGCAGGACGACATGGGAATTCTGAAGCGGTAGTCTGACAGGTTGCCATGGGCAGAGTCGGGCCGACAGTACAAAGCAGCAAATATCGCGGGCGATAATCAACACCGAACTCACACTGCTTTTTGCTTTTACTCTCCGCGCTTTTCGATTTTTGTTTTCTAGTTTTATATTTTGCACTGAGTATTCCTGAACAGATTGACGTGATGGCGAACAGAATGATAATACACTGGCCCTGGTCCTCACTGTAACCACCTTGTTCCTTCAATGGCCACATAACGCACCGACGCGGTCAGTGAAGGCGTGGCCAACAGCGCCTGGAGAATGTATCAGATTTCCCGTTGCCTGTAAGTGAAATGTTGTGTAGTTGTCTGTGCTTCATCAGCCTCGGTTCCGCATTGGGAAAGCGTGTGGTAGAACAGGAACTTCCGAGTCTACGAGTTGTCTTGGTTTAGAGATTAAGAGCCCAATCCAAGAAATTCCATTTTTCGTCATCGCTTCCATGTCGTATTGCACGAGCAAAGTAGGCGTAACATTTGTCTTGCTATATTCACACGAAAAACCTAGGTGCCGCGTTCAGACGGTCAGGCGTGGAAGTCCACCAGGGCGCGTGGCAGAAATGCCTTGGTGCCTTGCGTGGCATGTTTTGAAAAGCTCCTCCCCGGGATCCGGATAACATGCCCGACATACGAGATGGAAGCATGGTGCAAGATAAACCTCGCGAAATATTGACAAGCACCCTTCGCATGGTCTGTTTCGCCGGTCTAGGGCTGCCTTGGAATGAGCTGAGTTGAGCACGGAGATAACCTTCTCATACTCCCGCCGAGTATTCGTTAGTTGTTGCTCAAGCAATTTGCAGTTCTTTGCCAAACGGCGCGTATTTTGGACCAAATATTCCTTGCCCCAGACAGACGACGTGGTAAACCAGGGGCCCTTTTGAAGCGTGCGCACCTCATGGGAGATCTCGTCGAGTAGGAAGCTTGCACGTGCGCTGAATGACCGCTCCCCGACGGTAGTAGTGTAGATATAGGGCGATGTGCAACGCATGTGCCGTTGCGAACATCCCCGACATACGAGTAGGAAGCACGGCGCAAGATCGACATCCTTCACCAAACGACAATCATGGCATTGCCGATTATTTCGATCTTCGCAGGCTCGGAGGTGGGCTGCCCGCAGCTCCAATTGCTTGACGCTCAATTGCCGTCTTGCGAGGCCCAGTTGCTCCTCAAGATATTTGGATCGATTCAAGAGACGGCAATTCCCTTCCCATAATGCGGCTCTGCCGTGTGCTGCTTCCTGAAACGAACCATCCCTTGCAACTCCAAGGCGGGACACCTCTTGCGCCAATAGTTGCAGAAGCGCTCTAGTATTTTCTTCGGATTTCTTACCTGCCGTCCGCTAATATGAGTATGTGCATGTTCGACCGGGCATATCTTCTTACTCACGCTCGACTAAAAGCTTACTCCACTGTGCTGGGTTGAATTGGTAGAATGCCATGATAGGAATTCGAAAAGAGTCACCCGAATCGCCACCAGAAGGGATGGGTTTGCGCAGATATACGGGGTGGAAGCGGTCAGAAATGTAGATAGTCTGGGATATGAGGGGCAGCTTTCTTGACGCAGACGTGCTACTTTATAAGATTTGCTTCGGCGTCATCTTATAGCCGAAGCTTCACCGGTGATTGTATTGTCATCGCAGCAATCTGCCCCGCATCCAGCCCTCCCAGGAGCAGAGTGTTTCCGAATACCGCACCACCTGTTCCTCTGATCTTCTAATGCTATTCCCAGGATGTCGGATATTCGTAAGATCTGTCGGTCTGTATGGGCAATTCATGAGCCTCCGGGATCATACACCTCAGTCTGCCTCAACAGCCTCAGCTCCATTGTCATTTCGGACCTGACAGTTCCAATACTAAATTCCTTGTCCCCAGCAGAGACGGTGGTGAGAGAAGCAGGTGAATATAGCAGGGCTACCATTTCCTACACCTTTCGCTCGAGATGCTTTACAGTCCCATCGCTATGCCAGAGGAACAATGAGTCAGCCTGGCGATTCCATTCCCAATGGTCCAAGCTGTGGTCAAGCTGATGAACACAGACCATTGAATGGTGTGGGACGTCAGCCCCAGCGCTCATGCAGCCATATGTCTGAATGGACGCCTTCATAATCTGCGGGGAATGTAGCAGCAGAATGTTGAGCGGACGTACTTGATGGATTGCCCGGTCAGTGATCCACAGGGTTGCTCGCCTGAGCTTTTCTGTGGGGATTGCTTTGCATGTCACGCCCAATCATGATGAAACGAATGTCCATGGCCACGCCCGAAAGTTCCCAACTGCCCACTTGATATTTGTCCCAGCAGTTGCTTGGTGCCGCACCTACCAATCAGACAACTACCTTTATCTAAGACTCCTGCTTCAGAAGCAAAGCTCCTGTCAGTTAGTTGAGGGTGGCTCACTAGCGCGCAGTCGCTCGCAACGACCCCTTCACCGCCATGCCGCATTTATAACTTACATGCTGAAGCAGACACGCCGTCAATTTGCGACTGGATAGACTTCAACTTAATCCGAGTCCAGCAATTCTCAATCGTTTGATAAAACATGGAGGGGCATTCAAATCACAACGCCCGCAAGATTAGTGGTGCTGAAACTGGGTCTTTCTCTCTTTCTCTCTCTGTATGTAATTCTGCTTTCTCCGCACTCTAAGGGATCAGAAAAGTGACTCGCCGCAGGGCAGACTCGATGTGTATGGCTCCGATCGTTTATATCCTGGGCCAGCCGAACCGGCATAACGGTAGTCTCCGTCTCTTCCTTACGGTACTACAACGCCCCGCTTCAGATATCACACTTTTATTATCTCAGGGATAGAAAGAAAGTCCGAAAAGCGATACGTTTTTCTCTACGAGCCATGCGACTTCGATCCGCATTCATTTCGCTCGTTAGTCTGGCCGGTCATGTCACCCAGGGACAATTTCTCCGTCGCGACGGTCTCGCCACCAATGAGACGGAAACATATCGGAAGGGATATCGATCTGTGGCGTACTTTGTGAACTGGGTATGTGTACCTGACGCCGCTGCGGAGAATGGCTACCTATATATCTTCCCTAGGCAATCTACGGCCGTCTCTACAACCCCCAGGATCTCCCGGTTGACCACCTCACCCACGTTTTCTACGCCTTTGCCAATGTGCGACCGGAAACGGGCGAAGTCTACCTCTCTGATCCCTATGCGGATATAGAGAAACATTACGCCGCCGATTCATGGTCCGATACCGGCAACAACGTCTACGGCTGTATCAAGCAGCTCTATCTTCTGAAGAAACGGAATCGGAACCTGAAGGTCCTGCTGTCTATCGGAGGGTGGACGTACTCCGCAAACTTCGCACAGCCAGCGAGCACGGATAGTGGACGGAAGCAATTTGCGCAGACGGCTGTCAAGCTGCTCCAGGACCTGGGGCTGGACGGCTTGGACATCGACTGGGAGGTAGGATGTGGCGCTCTCTTCGTTGGATGCTCTACTCATGACAAGCGCTGCGTCTAGTATCCTGAAAATGACCAACAGGCCCGCGACTATGTCCTGCTACTGCGGGAATTGAGACAGGTTGGTCTGGACCAAGGAGCAAGCACAGAATGAGTCGTTAACCTGAGCAGGCTCTAAGGGAATACAGCAATGGTCACGCGGGAGGGAAGGAATTTCTGCTCACCGCTGCATCTCCTGCTGGTGTGTCGAAGTATCCTAAAAGGTGTACGCCGTTTGCTAACTCTGTCCTGGCAGGCCCTGAAAAAATCAACGTCCTCCATCTCAAGGACATGGACGACTTGTTGGACTTTTGGAACGTAATGGCTTACGACTACGCGGGCCAGTTCAGTGCCTATTCTTCGCACCAAGCAAATATTTTTGACGACCCATCCGTTCCGAACAGCACTCCTTTCAATACGGATCAAGCTGTCCAGCAATACATCGATGCTGGAGTGCCGGCCGATAAAATCGTCCTCGGCATGCCGTTATACGGGCGATCATTTGTCGGTACCGATGGACTGGGAAAGCCGTTCACCGGTGTCGGGAGAGGCTCCTGGGAAGCAGGGGTCTGGGACTATAAGGATCTGCCGCAACCTGGCGCGGAAGAATATGTGCTGGACCGTACAATTGCAAGCTACAGCTATGATCCGGCTGCAAAAACGTTGATCAGCTACGACACTCCGCGCTCCATCGAGCAAAAGGTTCACTATATTGTTTCCAGGGGCCTGGGCGGGGTGATGTGGTGGGAGAGTAGCGGCGACAAATCCGGCAACAGCAGCCTCATAGCCACGGTATGGTTCAGCTTATCCCCGGAGGAGCCAGTGTGTTAACGATATCCTAGGCAGCCAACGCTCTCAGACAGGCAGGGTGTCTAGAGCAAAGCGCGAATGTCTTGGAATACTCGATTTCTCAGTACGAGAACCTGAAGGAAGGCATGATATGAGTGATAGAACACTCACAACGGTCATATCCTCAACCGGATTACTACTGCCTTTGGCCTCAGACAGAGCGCTACGATCAAGGATACTGGTGCGCTACTTCTGCGTTGCGCCGTAAGATGGTTTCGTCACTCACCTGCACTTTTATACTTCTAAGATACTACTTTGCTTTATATGCCACCTCCAGGCCTGGTAGGAAATCTTGATGAATAACTGACAGTATAACCTGGATACTTTAGGTCAAGCCTCGGGTGATAAAATAAATTCCAAGGATGTATAGACCTGGAATACTCCAGAGCTGTAGCATGTCGCGGCGGGCGTCCGACAACGATGCTTGGCTGCAGTATGAGTCCTTGCTAGATCCGTTCTTAGATAAATATTGGCATAGATGGTGCCCGGTCCCTGCTTTATGACAGTCAGTGCTTATACGCAGGGAACGCTGCGTTCACTTGCCCTATGAAGAATTCAAGCCCACGCAGCGGACCCCTAACCTACGACGGAGATTTTGCCTGGTCATCGTCGTAGCCTTTTCGGATTTTTCATTCAGATCTTGCGCAACCTATTTCGAGTTGACCGGTCATCCGATATTGCGCGACGCTTCGGATTGAGCGCCCACAGCATGCCCGGCCATCCAACCGTAGAAGAGATTTACCGCAGGGATCAACTGCTTTTCCACAGGGCTCTCACCTCCTCCTGGAAGGGGACATCTTCCGATTCACCCGGGAAAAAGCTTGAAAAGTCAGGGAAGACTCCTGAATACCCGCCTTGGCCCGGTGAACCAGCGCAATAGGGCAAGGCAGACGTCGGCACGGCTAGGAGTAGCAACATCATTGTGACCAGAAGGTACATATCGACTTAGTAAGTACTTTCACCAGCACTGCGAGTCTGGACCACTCGATATATAAAGCTCAACCCTACCAAAGCAGATAAATCTGTGAGAACTTGCAGTCTTAGCGCAATTGTCCGACTCGCATACTTCGATAGTAAGATGTCTCGGCCTGTTGTCCACCGTCCGCAGCTACCAATCTTCCAACCGAGTGCTCATCAGGCAGTTCCTCCGAACGTTCTATCCGAATATGCGGATCCGCCGTCCGATTCCTCAGCCTCGACATCAGAGTGTGCGTGTGCGTGTGCGTGTTGCGCATCACCGCCATTGCCAGGCCTCGAGATTCTCGCCGAAGCTATTCCAGACCGTCGGAAGCAATACGCCGGGACTGTCGTCAACCCTGGAAAGCCAGTTCTTGGACTCTGTGAGCCTTCTACCGGCTGAATTCAGCATCCAAGCTACGGCCGTTATACCTCACGATCGACAGGCCAAGGGCCACTGGTTGCTGGTTACCTTGCTTTGTCACCGGGTATTTGATGCATGTGGAGACCAAGTGGAGATCCGCAACTTCGGCGTGTTCTATCATGCAACGTTTGGCCCTGGCGATGTCTTCACAGCAGTGTCGCGGAAAGTTATCCGGGATGGTCTTACCTGGCTTGAAGCCACGGTTACCCGTGATGGTGCGGTGGTAGCCACCGCAAGCCCTTTATACGATCAAGCGGACTCACACTGGGTGGACAACCCACAGGTTCGGGATGCCAACCGACGCCGAACTAGCTGAGCTTCGGAGTCCCTGATTGTGTTTGATTTTTTTCTCCAATGAGCTAATTGGACTGCAAGTGGGTGGGCTCTCCGGACCTGGGATCCCTGCCATGCGAGAACGAAGTTAGCATCGTTCTCACCCGAAGACTAGCTTTCACTGTGACCTTGGTAACGAGTTTAGGATGAGCATCAACAAGCTGTGCTCTTTCAAGATGCAGATACACGAGCCATCTGCGTTAGTTTTCCATTCTGCGTAGTACCCAGATCAAGGAATGTAGTCGTCTTAGCGCACGAGGTCGATCCATGAGCGCCAGAGTCCAATATCATGGTGTATGAAGTAACCGCAGCTTACGTTCGACCACGAGGCCCAAATCGATCTACATCAGGAATGTTTTGTAGGGATGAATGCGACGGCCGCTTCATAGCGCACGAGCACCCAAATCACGTCCAAGACGCGCCGAGACGCTCGTTTGAGCTTTTTGGCAGTTATATGTCTGGCTTGTAGAACACCCGCCCCATCACGCTTGAGGCGGATCGCTCGGTGGCGCTTCGAACCCGTTTGACCGCCCCCACTGAGATATAGAAGACACGAATAATTATGGGCGGGCATTTATTGATGCACCTCCTCTGCAGGTAGGATGTTGCCTTCGGACTTGGGGCTAAAAGGTCATCGGTGCGGTTGCCCGCCCATTGAAGCCATTGAACTAGTCTCCATAGAACCATCTAGATCTGTCCATCTAGATCTGTCCATNGTAGAACCAGGCCATTGTCACAGAAATTTGATGCCTTCTATAATCTTCCAACGGTCAGTGCTCCTCTGATGCCCGAAAGGCGTGCCCGTACCGGTCGGATGAATTGGCCAAGTTCGTCTTCCTGAATCCGGCAGCGGGATATCAAGATGCGGTCCAAAGCGAACTCAGCCGGTTCCCACACGAGATAGCACGTTGATTGATGGTGCAGCACATCAAGGAGACAGAGAAAACGGCGATGAGCGAACCGAGAGACTTTCTGTACTGCTCTCTCGACCAGGGCCAAGTCTGTTCGAGTCGTCTGAATATGGACCAATTTTGCAGGGTCGTCACGGCGTATAGCAAGGGCAGCTTCGTGTCCGGCGCGAACTAGAGCCTTAGCGGTGTATATCGTCCAGGGGTCTCGGTGTATGATTTTTCGAATAAGGGCGTTCGTGGCGGCCTTTTCCGTCCCGACGTTCATTGCTTTCCCTGCCAGTGGACGACTGAGTTGCGTGGCTTGGGCCGATCGCACTGGAGTCTGGCGTTGAATTTGCCAGGCCAACTGGAGGCGGATCATCCTTGAACCAGATGGTCCGTCGAGCGTCAGTTGTCGGCATGGTTTGAAGGCAAGAATAGAAGAGTGCAGAAGACAAGTGTCCGCGGAGGCAGAGACAGTTCATTTATAAGGTCGGATCACTAGGCTAATCGTCACGTCACGTCTGACCACAGCAAGACCAAGATGCCCACCCACAGCGTTCTTGCCCCTCATTTTCAGTAATAATTGGCGTCATCGCACACGGCCTGAACCGATCTCTAGCAACCTTGGCCTGTGCCAAAATGTGCATGATAATGCTTTCTGTGCATATGTCTACCCGCTGGGCAGGCTGGTACATTGGCACACCGTCCCGTCAGTTCCCCGTTCACCAACGCTTGATAGAGCGCGCACCTTTTGGTGTGATGTTATCGCCGTCAGCCATTCTCGCGCCTACACGAAGAAATGGTACGTCCCTCAGTCAGTCTATTCCGTTCCTGACCAACATCCCGTACTTCCGTACTTGGTCACACGCACCTGGTTTTCCGCGGTGGACAGCGAGACCAGACACCTAGAGGGAGGGAGGCTTGAGCGGCAATACTTCTGTGAGCAAGGATGGGTATGACTCACTGCAGCTGCGGCTAGAATCCAGAATATCAGAATAGTAACAGAGAACATGACGCCGGAAGTTGTTTGGGCTGACCTCGACATCCGTGCAAGAGATTGCTCTATCAATATATAATGCCCGTGGTCCCATCCAAGGATGGATGCCCTACCCTGCATAAATGTGCGGGTGGGCAAAATCGCGGCGTCTTGTATGCACGCTCAGGAAAGGATCTCATCTTTGTTAGGGCAGAGACCTGATCAGACACGGGTCGTCGCATTCATGCTGATTTACCCGTAGACCTGTTAGATGAATACTACGAAACATTCCCGATGTAGATCGATTTGGGCCTCGTGGTCGAACGTAAGCTGCGGTTACTCCATACAGCATGATATTAAACTCTGGCACTCATGGAGCGACCTCCTGCGCTAAGACGACTACATTCCTTGATCTGGGTACTACGCAGAATAAAAAGCTAACGCAGAGGGCTCGTGTATCCGCATCTCGAAAGGGCACAGCTTGTTGATGCTCATCCTAAAACTCGTTACTATAGGTCACAGTGAAATCCAATCTTCCGGTGAGAAAGATGCTAACTTCGTTCTCACATCGTAAAATGCCAGTATGGCAGGTCCTGTCCTCTCGCAATCAATTCTGCCTCCGACTTGCGGTCCCGATCAGATCACTGGAGAAAAATAGCTTCTAATTGCAGACAAGTGACGGAGAATTTATGAAGGTCTGTGCTTCAGCAGTATTCCCTCTACATCAGCATGCCCCGCTTTCCTGGCGCGGTCCAATGGAGTTTGGCTGTAATAATCTTCTTCGTTGATATCCGCACCATGATCAAGCAGTAACTGGACGATATTGGCCCGGCCGGTAGATGCAGCAAGACACAATTCTCTGTGACGAGGAGTGACCTTTAATATCATTCGTACTATAACCTCATCTCCCTGAGCTACGGCCATGTTCAGTGGTGTGACTCCGTCAACGTGTTGTATGCCCGCGTCCGCGCCGGATTCAAGGAGCCGCCGAACAGCGGCGTG